TTTGTACGTTGTATTAGCACACCTGAGTTTTGTTTGAGCCTTGTAGCACCATAGAATTCTTTTTTGTATCTGGCATATAGCATATCTTATAATTAGTGATAGCCTATTCGGTTTGTTTCCCTGGCTTAGATCCCTTGTAAGAGAGATACCGTACTAGCTGAGAATATTGTTTAGTTGTTAGAATTGCCTATTCTTGTGTTGCAAAGTGTGACACAGTTAGCCCATAGAACTTTTTTTTTTTTTTTAAATAAAAACAGGGAAAATGTTGGGAATTTAGCTGGTAGAGAATGGAAAATTACAAAGCTGTGGCTAATTCCAACTCCTGCACCTGCTAGATAGCGTGTCCTTGGGCCTGGCTGTAGTAGGATAACAAACAGTGAAAGAGACATGAGAAAAGAGAGATGTAACCCCTAAGGAATGAGGAAGAGTTTATGGTATAGTTTAACCAATAGATTGCTTGGCTTACAGAATATTCATAAGCTTATTATTTGCTGTATAAGTGTTTGATACTTTCTTCAATAAACTAGACGTGAAGGACCTGAAGAAACGGACCAGACCGGGCCTGTGATGAACCATATGGTATCCTGGTCCCCTTCCTATGACAGAAAAGGACCCCAAATAGGGGAAGAGTGACCCAAAACAGGGGGAGGACCCAAATGACAGAGAAAGGATCCAAAATAGGGAGGAAAAGACAGAAAATAGGGAGAAGGGATGCAAAAGACAGGGAAAGGATTCAAAACAGGGGGAAACGTCTCAAAGTGGAGGGAAAGGATCCAAAATGAGAGGACAAAGAGTGTCACAGGAACGAAGCTCTTCCTGCATTTGGGGCACTCACAGAGCCGCCCTTGGTGGCTCTATTGGTGTCTGGTAAGGGTCGACCTCTGCAAGAAGCTCTTGCCACACTCAGAACACTCATAGGGCCTCTCCCCAGTGTGGATGCGCAGATAGTGATGAGGCCGGAGTTGTTCCTTGCTGTGGTGTGTTCTTAAGTTTGTTAGTATGCTCCCCTATTTTCTGTATTAAATGGTTTCTTCCTTTCCCAGTACTCCCCGCTGCTGCTACTCTGTCAGTTAGGTTGCTATGGAAACCTCGCTGTTCTTAGTTGCCGAAATGAAACTGTTCCTCCCATATTCTCCCTTATAAGTGAAAGTTGTCTCCTCCCTGGGCCCAGTNACCTCTACCAAGCGGACCCCTTACGCCCTTCCCAGGGGGGTGTTCTTGATTTGTGGCGATCGAGCGTGGGCAGGCATCCATTCTGGTCTGATCGGAGGGCCGTGCACATTAGGCTGGCTGACGCTGTTTACCCCCAACATCACCCAAATTATCAATTGGAAAAGGAATAACATCACATCCGAATTGGCCAGATCTAAAAGAGATCTTAAAGATCTCACTGAAGATTGTGATGATAAAGTTACCCATTGGTCTCATTCTAAATCCGTTGCCTTTACCATTTTATTGCCATGGTTATCGGTGGCGAAATCTCTGGGTGAATTGGGTCGCCTGGAGTGTTGGGTGGTTAAACAAGCCAATTATACTTCAGCTGCGTTATACGACCTCCTTAAAGATGAGGAAATTACAAGGAAGGCAATGCTCCAAAACAGAGCAGCAATAGATTTTCTACTGCTGCTCCATCACCATCACTGTGAAGAGTTTGAGGGCCTCTGCTGTCTGAACCTGTCCTCTCGGGCCGAGGATGCCAGACACTCCATCAAAAAACTCCAAGACCTCGTCCATCAGGTCAGGCAAGAGACATCAGACTGGCTGGGGGACATATTCAAGGGTTGGGGCCTTAGCGGGTGGGCCAGTTCAGTGTTAGAATCAGTTTGTAAAGTGGTTTTGAGTTTGATTGTATTTTGCGTTTTGATCGTACTGATCCGTAGTTTGATCAAAGGACTAATAGCTAAAGCCAACTCAGCGACTGTCAATCATGCCGCACTCCCTCTGGAGGAACATTTCGAGCTGGAGGACCTCTCCTCAGAAGCCGGAAGAGATTCAGATGAAGAGGGATCCACTGAGCTGCCTCAAGAACATAAAGTGGGCTAGTGAACTCCAGCTTGAAGAAAGCGAAGATTGGCAGGACAAGCCGCAGACACCTTCCTTTTGAGTTGCATAGACTCTCTAAAATTTTAATTTTATTTGATAAGAAACGGGGAGATACTGTAGTGTGTTCTTAAGTTTGTTAGTATGCTCCCCTATTTTCTGTATTAAATGGTTTCTTCCTTTCCCAGTACTCCCCGCTGCTGCTACTCTGTCAGTTAGGTTGCTATGGAAACCTCGCTGTTCTTAGTTGCCGAAATGAAACTGTTCCTCCCATATTCTCCCTTATAAGTGAAAGTTGTCTCCTCCCTGGGCCCAGTCAATCACCCCTTTTCTCCTCCCAGGTTTCGAGAATTTTCTTTTCTCTGGGAGTTATGGTTGGCTGTAGCCCCGGAGCCCCTCCTAGGATTTATAACAGTTGGTTACTTTGGTATATCAATTATGTTTCGTACCTCCAAATATGTATTACTATTGGTTAGCCGGGTTTCCCTGCCTTCTTCCCCCCTTTTCCCTTAAAACCCTCTCCCGCCCCCTGTTCGGGGCCATTTGCTGGGAGGTTCCCCTCCTTGTTGGTCCTTCTGTAATAAACCGACAGTTTACCCCCAGCAAGTGGTCGCCTCCTAATTTGTCTCACACCGCGCTGCTCCGAGCTATCACCCAGCTCAGCCCGAGGCCAAGACGCCGAGGGGGGTGGGCTTCAGATGTGCAGGGGCACCGGCCTTCGCCCCTCACCAGCTAGCCGGATTCCAGGGCCGTGTACGCCCACGCGCAGTTCCTGAAGCCTTTTGCGCAATGGGGGACAGCAGAAGGGCCTCTCACCTTTGTGACTCCACTGATGCCTGATGAGACAGGAACTCATGTGACACCTCTTCCTGCATTTATCACACTCCTAGGGACGTTCCTCTGTGTGGATTCTCATGTGGCGGATCAGGAAGGATCTCAGGGAGAAGCTCTTCCCACATTGTGAGCACTTGTGAGACTTCTCTCTCTCCCCATCCTGGAGCTGCTCATGGACCCCCAGCTCTGAGCTGTAGCTCCCTCCCTGGCCCAGGGTGGGTCTTTCCTCCTCAGATCCCTGTGATCTGCATTTGGAGCCCCTCCTCGTGAGAGATCTATGGGGCTTTTCTTTCCCTTTTGATGCATGTGCTGTGGAGCTGCACAAAACAACTTCCACAAGGTTCTCCTGTGGGGATTTGTCCTCCCTGGTCTCCATCCTCAGCTCCTGGTCTGGGGGAGGAAGGACAAGGAGAGGATGGGATTTGCCTCTGTGCCACAGGGAAGGACAAGGAGATCCCCTCAGTGTGTCCCTTGCAGGACAGCTTTGGCAGCAGGGTTGTCCTGCAGCCGGGGACCGTGCTGGGCTGGGAGATGGAGCAGGAGAGAGGGGGAAAGGGGCACTGACTTCCTCCTCACCTGCATTAAGCTCCTGGGACATCTTCCTCTTCCTCACGGCCTCCTCCTTCTTCATGGGGCCAAGGTTTGAGAATGGGAAATCCTGATTTGGGGAAAAACAAGGGCTGAGTGCGTTGGGTTTGATGGTGCCGCTGCCCAAGTGCAACTGGAGAAGTCAGCGCCCCTTTCAGCCTCGGGGCGCCTGGAGCCCGCTCATCCCCAGCCTCCCGGACCCCTCCAGGCAGCCGGTGGTTCCCCTGGCTCCGGGATCGCCCCTCTGCGCTCTCCCCACTCTGGGGCTCCTGAGCTCCCCTCAGCTCTCCCGGGCATCCCCCAGCCCGAGATCGCCCCTGTGCCCGCCGGTACCGGGCGAACGTGAGACTGTTCCCACCACGGGAAATTCAAAGTTTGGGTTTGAGGTCCTGCAAGAGTCAAAGATCCCCTGCCCCACGAAAAAACCCTCCCAGAGACCCCCCCGATGGATCTGGTGCGAGCTCCCCCTCCCCGCTCACCTGCAGCTTCTGGAGGGGGCGATGCAGCAGGAGCCGGGAGAGTTTCGGCCTGAGCAGTGGGGGAAGGCGGCAGGGAAAGCAATGTGATTCTGCTGCTCCTCTTCCTTCCGCTCCTCCTCTTCCTCCTCGTCTGTTCCTCCTCTTCCTTCCGCTTTTCTTTCACTCCTAGCCCGGCCCGGGCAATGCTGACACCCAAAAGCAGCCGCGCTCTGCTCTGGGCGGGTTCCCGAAACAGCAGAACAGTGAAACTTGGGAGTGAATTTGGGAGCACTGGGAAAGATCCTGACAGCCGCAGGAAGGAACTGGGAGCGCTTTCCCTGCCAGTCCTGCTCTTACTGGGAGCACTGGGAGGGAACTGGGAGCAAACAGCGCCCGGAGGCGGCTGCAGCCAGTGGGGCCACCATAGAAGGCGTGGTTATGAGGAGAGCGGTCGGCGCTGGGATTGGTGGGCGGGAGCAGCGCAGGGTTTGCTCGGTTATGTGAGGGCCGGAGGGGCCGGAGCGATGGCGGCGGCATCCGGTGAGAGGGGACAGGGAGCGGGAATGGCGACCGGGAAGAGGAATGGGAATGGGGACATGATTGGAAATGGGACCCAGAACTGGAATGGCACAGAGAATGGGGACAGGGACCAGGAATTGGAATATGGATATGGGATTGGGAATATTGAAATAGAAATATAGGAACAGGAGCGGGTCCATGAATAAGAGAAGGGGAACAGAGACTTGGAATATGGGACAGGGAATGTGACTTGGAATGGGATTCAGGCTGGATGGGAGTGGAACGGTACGGGGTGACACGGGAATGGGTGGGTGAGAGGGGGTCACAGCAGGGGACACTGGCAACCAGGATAGAGGGACATGGAGACAGTTCCAGGGCAGGGGAGCCTTGATCAGCTGCCCCACAACTTTCACCAGGGTCTCCCAGCACTTCTGCAGCTACTGGGCCTGTTCTGCCCAAAGCCCTGAGCAATCCCCAAATCCCTCCCAGGAACCCTCACCTCCCTCAAACCCAGCATGCCCCCCATGCCCTGGAAGATCCCCCCATGTCCCCATCAATGGCTTATTTCAATGTCTTTATTTTTACCCCGGTTTTGGGTGTTTTGAAGGGACAAAGAGAAATGAAAGGAAAATCCAGGCCATGGGGTGCCAGGAGGATGTGAAGCCCACAGACCAGTGATTACCAAGATGGATCACTGGCACCAGGGATTGCCCGGGCTCTGCCCAGCGAGGGTCACTGGGGATCAGCCAGGGTGGATCCCTCTGTGGGGGATGGAGCTCGAGTAGTGGAGGAAGCTCTTCCTGCCCTCGGGGCACTCACGGGGCTGCCCTTAGTGCTGGCTCCGTTGGTGTCTGGCCAAGTTACCGCTCTGAGAGAAGCTCTTCCCACACTCAGAACACTCATAGGGCCTCTCCCCGGTGTGGATGCGCCGGTGTTTGACGAGGGTGCAGTTGTGCTGGAAGCCCTTCCCACAGTCGGGGCAGCGGAAGGGCCTCTCATCTGTGTGAATGCGCTGGTGCAGCAGGAGATGGGAGCTGGTCTGAAACCTCTTCCTGCATTTATCACACTCATAGGGCCTCTCCCCGGTGTGGCTCCTCTGGTGGATGACGAGGGTGCAGTTGTACTGGAAGCCCTTCCCACAGTCGAGGCAGCGGAAGGGCCTCTCCTCTGTGTGAGTGCGCTGGTGCTTGATGAGATCGGACTTGGTGTAAAACATCTTCCTGCATTTATCACACTCGTAGGGACCTTCCCCCATGTGGCTCCTCTGGTGTTTGATCAGGTCAGGACGCTTGCAGAAGCTCTTCCCACACTCGGGACACTTGTAGGGCTGTTCCCCTGTGTTTCTCTTCTGGTGTCTGCTCAGTTCGTAGCTCCTTCTGAAGCTCTTCCTACACTGCCCACACTCATAAGGCCTCTCCGCCGAGTGGATTACCATGTGGATGATCAGACCGCAGCTATGGCTGAAGCCCTTCCCACACACCCCACACGTATAGGGCCTCTCCCCTGAGTGGCTCCTCTGGTGTTTGATCAGGTCAGGACGGTTGTAGAAGCTCTTCCCACACTGGGGACACTCATGGGGCCGTTCTCCTGTGTGGATCCTCCGGTGTCTGCTCAGTTCAGAGTTCCTCTTGAAGCTCTTCCCACACTGCCCACACTCATAGGGCCGTTCCCCAGTGTGGATTCTGCAGTGGATGATCAGGGAGGATCGCTTACTAAAGCTCTTCCCACATTCTGAGCACTTGTGGGGCTTCTCCCCATCCTGAACCTGCTTATGGACCCCCAGCTCTGAGTTCCGGCCGCCTCCCAGGCCCAGGGTGGGTCTTTCCTCCTCAGATTCCCGTGATCTGCGTTTGCAGCCCCTCCTCGTGAGGGATCTCCGGGGCTTTTCCTCCCCGTTGGATTCCTGTGCTGTGGAGCCGCTCAAAACAGCCTCTTCCACGAGGTTCTGCCGTGGGGATTTGTCCTCCATGCTCTCCATCCTCAGCTCCTGGTCTGGGGGAGGAAGGACAAGGAGAGGATGGGATTTGCCTCCGTGCCACAGGGAAGGACAAGGAGATCCCCCCAGTGCGTCCCCAGCAGGACAGCTTTGGCAGCAGGGTTGTCCTGCAGCC